GGGCCGGGCCCCCGCGGCGGGGATGCGGGCCCCTCGCTAGGGACAGGCCCCTGCTCTCCTGTTGGCCGCCTCTTCCTCCCCAGCCCCCCCGGCTCGCTGCGCCTGTCCCGGCCTCGGGGGCGGGGGCGAGGGCGGGGGGCGGAGACGCCACTTCCCTGGGTCGGGGAAGCGCCGGATCTCCGCACCTGGGACACGGAGCCAACGTGTGTGCGCGCGCGTGTCTTGCAGAGCCGCCTTGTCTTAAGCAAACATGCATCGAACCACCAGAATCAAAATCACGGAGCTAAACCCCCATCTCATGTGCGTGCTCTGCGGCGGCTACTTCATTGACGCCACCACCATCATAGAGTGCCTGCACTCCTGTAAGTACCGCGCGGCCTCGCGCCCCCCCGCCGGCCGCGGGTCCCCCGGGCCGCCCCGGACGCCTCGGAGCTCTCCGGCCACGCCTGTGCCGCCTTTGTTAAAGCGGGGGGATACTGAGACACGCTCCCGGCGCCTCCTTCTCATGTAAATTGCAGCTAATTTGAGTATTTGTTTAGCTTAAGCAGCGCGCTTGTGACAATGGCCCATGTACGAGCGAGCATAGCTCAGACAATCACACCTCCTCCGCTGCAGATGGGAGCATCACCTCGGCCCCTTACTAAACGCTTCCCGTGTTTTGCTTGCAGTCTGCAAGACGTGTATCGTGCGTTACTTGGAGACAAGCAAGTATTGTCCTATTTGTGACGTCCAAGTTCACAAAACCCGGCCGCTTTTGAATATAAGGTAGGACAAAATGCTCAGGTATCTCTTCTTTTGCTTTAGAGCAGGGAGCAAGCCCTAAGTGTCCGTGATGTTACCTCGTTACCGCCCATTTCAATATGAAAGGACCTGTCCGTTTACAAGCTAAAGTTTGCCCATGTGTTCCCTTTGGGGTTTTGGCACCGCCGGAGACAAAGACGACTTCATTGGTTGCGAAGCAGGACGTTTTTGCCTGTTTTGCATACTCTGACCCCTCCTGAGCAACGCTTTCCGCCCCTTATCTTTATCTGTCACGATCTTTTACATCCCCACTTTCCATTTGACACAGACCTACTGCAATCCAGTCTCCTATAGCTCCCGTAGCTCACAAGCATCAGCATGGGAGGAAAAAAAGGAAAAGTTAAACTCTTTTGAAAATTCTCTTCCCTTTAGCAGTCCTGTTCATTGCTAGGTTTGTGATCTTCTGTCTCCCTGATAGGAGTTCAACTTTTTTAAAGGCCTCCTTCCAACCTCTGGGAATATCCTATCAGTGAAATGCAACAAGCATTTGTTCAATCAGCTAGATCACAGATGAGTTCATAATGTATCCTGTAGACTATTTTAATACAAAGCCGTAAGAACTTTTTTTAGGAGTTAGCATTTAATTTTTTATAGTGTAATTTTCCTCCTTGTTTTGGAACTAATTGTAAATGAGAAGCTTTGGCTTGAAACCTCTGCTTAGATGTATGTTTTGGGATTTTGTTTTTTAGGTCAGATAAAACTCTTCAAGATATTGTGTACAAACTAGTACCAGGCCTTTTCAAAAGTGAGTAGTTAAATCAAGCAGTACCACCTGTACCTAGTATGCTTTGTCTTCCCATATAGTAACAAAGGTAAACTAAATGAACAAATAATCTGCTTTCCCATCCAGATGAAATGAAAAGAAGAAGGGATTTTTATGCTGCTCATCCCTCAGCTGATGGTAAAAGCTTCTGGTTTATACCTTTTAATAAAATTAAGGTTCACCTCACCTTCTATTTAAAAGCAAAGATGCCTTAATATTTCCTGTCACTTACAAATTATTTAACCATAAATCCATTTCAAGGTGTAGATTCAGCTTAATATTTAAAAATGATAATAGCAAAGTAAATAAAGCAATACATAACCTTATTACTGAAGTTTTCCCTTGTTGCCGAGAATCCCCATTCTTTCTGATTTGAATTTCAAAATGTAAATTATTGTGGAAATTTCTGCGCAGCTGCCAATGGCTCTAATGAAGACAGGGGAGAAGTTGCTGACGAAGACAAAAGAATTATAACAGATGACGAGATCATAAGCTTGTCCATTGAGTTCTTTGATCAGAATAGGCAAGTTCTATGAGCAATTTTATCCTTATCTGTATGTTAACAGCTCTTTTTAGTATTTGTTCTAATTGTTTCATTCCTTTTCCCCAGACTGGAACGAAAAGGAAATAAAGAGAGAGAAAAATCAAAGGAAGAGGTAAATAACCTCTCTTTCCTAAAGGCAGAGTGTAGACAGAAGGAAACAATTATTTCTTTTAGTGGTTGGTGGGCAAGCTGAATTAAGTATTAATATCCACCAAGATAAAAATCCTTGCAGCATATTAAGGTGTTAAACAGAGATTTACAATATGGGTTTGTAGATGTAGACAGGAATAATTTTGGCAGACAGAATAAAGACTGCTGATTATTTTTTTTTTAAAAAAGGAAACTGAAGTTCTGGAGATTTTTGGGTCATTTTTTAAAGAAATAAAAATAAAGAACCATTTGTTAGAAGAGAAAAAATATTTTAATTTCATTTTATAAAAACAGGTCATTAGTTTGAACAGTCTGTTTTAAGACCTTTCTATGTACAATTATAAATAATTGATTGTTCCCAGATATTTAATTTTAGTACTTAGCACCTATTTCTGATTGTCTTCATAAGGTATTCTAACTAGGAATCTGCCAATTGATGTGAGTCATTTATTACAATTGTACACACTATATTGCATCATACTGTCATAGTCTATTGGTATAAATACTTTAAAAATGATGTTTGTTCTCAATAAATAGACTGACGTTTTCCAAATATACTGTTAGGTGAATGACAAAAGATATTTACGCTGTCCAGCAGCCATGACAGTGATGCATCTAAGAAAGTTTCTCCGAAGTAAAATGGATATACCTAATACTTTCCAGGTAGGTTGGGTGGGTGGGGAAGTTTGGGGTTTCTTTTTTTCCTTTTAACAGTCCTTCTGTGCTAAACTTCCCCTGCTGGCTGACTCTCTCTTTAAAGAAAGTGCCTTTCTGATTACTTGTTTAACTCAGACCCAGAGAATAGGCATTTATAGGGT